GCTAGTTACTTGGGAGAAGAGACCAACACCTGCCTCACTACAACCTACTTTCAGGTAGTTGTAGAGAGCAATAAGGTGCTTTGGGTTGGAAGGGACCCTTAGAGGTCATCTAGCCCAACCCCCCTGCAATAAGCAGGGACATCTTCAACTAGACCAGCTTGCTCAAAGGCCCGTCCACCCTGGCCTTGAATGTTTGCAGGGATGGGGCCTCCACTACTTCTCTGGGCAACCTGTTCCAGTGTTTCACCACCCTCATGGTGAAAAAAATCTCTTCCTTATATCTAGTCTAAATCTACCCTACCTTAGTTTAAAGCCATTACTCCTTATCCTGTCACAACAAGCCCTGCTGAAAATATTTTCCCCATCTTTCCTCTAGGCCCCCTTCGGGTAGAATTAACACACATGGCCCCAAAATGGCCATCAAGGGTGTCCTGGGAAGGAAGGCTGGAGGGAAGGGCAAATGGCCCGTGGAAAAGCCATGGAGCAATTCACCGGAGTGAGGCCACGCTTAGTCGCTTGAGCTTCACTCCAAGGTGTGCAAACAAATGCCAAAACCATTGCATGGTTGGCGAGGGCATCTGCAACTCAGCTCACTGACGTCCGCCAGTTCCATGAGACGTTTCGCATCCTTAGCGTTTTAGAACTCTTTACCATCAGCCACTAGCAGTCATTTTCCCCACCAGGGACTGTTTATATCTGTGAAGTGGGAAGGAACCTGCCTATTCCCATGAAATAAACAGGGCAAAACTCTAGCAAATAGCCTGGGTTTCATGCTATTAAAAATAACGAACTCCGTTGAAACCAAGCACTGCAAGGGTCTAACCAACATGGCACAAGGGCCCAAGGTGCCTACAAGATCATGGATTTACAAGGTTTTATGGGAATCCTGATCTGCACATAGAGGTGTGCATCAGTCACACAGTCCCAGGCTTTCAGCACGCTGCTAACCAGGCATTTCTGATGGATGCTTCTGTTAAGACTGGCTTCAGAAGGGTTATACATCATTATATGGTTCTACATCAGCCCCATACTCATTTTCTGTTGCTACAGTCCAGTGTCAGGGATTTTCTCCTTGGAAAACCAAGACTGCAAACTATGGCCGCTTGCTTGGTCCCCATTTTAATCCCGCTGTTTAGTGGGGGTCTCGGGCCAGCCAGTGCTGCCTGGAGCTGCTGGTTAGCACAGAGGATTATCCTTATTCCAAGGAAACAAGTCCATTTCCTAGGCATTAGGAGGGAATGATTTTTCTCTGGAGACATTTGGGGTCACCTCGGGCTCTTGCCATCCCTTATACCAAGGGGCGACATGCAGACAGCGGCACAGCAGCCACCTCCAGCCCACAGAGCCGCACCTCCGGGAAGCCTGCACTGACCCCCTCCCATTCCCAAGGCCTGAAGCAATTAGGCAACGAGCTCAAATTACAGAGGAGAAGGAGATCAGAAAGCAAGCTAAGAGGATCAGGATAATCCTGCTCCCTTTCACCCGCTGACACTCACAGCCCTGGGACTAAACCCCAGCAGATTAGGACCCAGAGCCAGCGTTACCCTCCTTGGGGAAACTTTCTTAGCAGGACTCAAGTCTTGATCCATGTGGAAGCAATTGGGCAGAGAGCAGCTGAACAGGAGGGGATGAAGGGACAGGACCCTGTAGCACGTCTGCCTGTGCAGGTGCCTCTAATACTCGGATGCACCTAAAATGGGAGAGATACCAGTGCCAGCTCCCTGCTGCACCCACTGCCAAACCCCTTTATGGCTGGAGTGACCCCCCTGCTTGTGCCAAAGCCGGGAGCCCAGGATCCACCAGCAGATTAACTGTGCTACCTCGTGGGCTCCGGCTTTGCTGTGGGAACAAGGAGAGCACATGCCTAGCCTGGCAGCACTCCAGGGATTGCTTTTGCCCACCCATCGCGGATCCATTAAAGTCAGCGAATAAAGCAGAGGCCACCTCCCTTTTTAACACGTCGCATGATCCTTATTTGGCAGGGTAAAAATCCAGCTACTGTTGACTCTTTCAAACTATTTTTATATGCCTCAGTGCTTAGAGCTCTCGTATGTTTGCAGAGTCACTCTTCTCAAATAAGGCAATAGGGCTGCTAACGAACCCACACCCACGTCCTCGCAGACAGTAAAACCCTGGAGAAGGGGAAGGGGTTCCCCGCTGGTCTGAGCCTTCCTGCCCCAGCTCTGCAGCCCAGCAACTCATTTATCTGTATCAATATTAAATTTTAACAAGCAAAGCTTAGCTTCTCTGTTTTTTCATAAGAAAGCACAGGACGGATTATGCCGTGTACACTGTTAACATAAAGGGGAAAATTATATTTTTAGTCTGTGCTGCCATCCAATAACCCTAGGAACTGAACAGAGGAGAGGAGGGTTGCTGCCTTTCTGAGCACCCTGTCTCTTTTTGCAGTACCTCTGAAGTTAACCATGACCTCTTCACTCCAGGAAAGACAGGTCTAGATCAGAATCATAGAATCATCAAATCATTTGGGTTGGAAAAGTCCTTTAAGATCACTGAGTCCAACCATTAACCTAACACTGCCAAGTCCACCACTAACCCCTGCTCATAAGCACCATGTCTACACGTCTTCTAAATACCACCAGTGGTGGCGACTCCAGCACTTCCCTGAGCAGCCTGTTCCAACGCTTGATAACCCTTTCGGTGAAGAAATTTTTCCGAATATCCAATCTAAACCTCTGCTGGTGCAGCTTGAGGCCATTTCCTCTCATCCTCTCACTTGCTGTTTGGGACAAGAGACCACCACTCACCTCACTACAACCTCCTTTCAGGTAGTTGTAGAGAGCGACAAGGTCTCCCCTGAGACTCCTTTTCTCCAGACTAAACAGCCCCAGTTCCCTCAGGTGCTCCTCGTAAGGCTTGTTCTCCAGACCCCTCACCAGCCTCGCTGCCCTTCTCTGGACACCCTCCAGCACCTCAATGTCCTTCTTGTAGTGAGGGGCCCAAAGCTGAACACAGCACTCGAGGTATGGCCTCACCAGTGCCGAGTACAGGGGCTCGATCACCTCCCTGCTGCTGCTGGTCACACTATTCCTGGTACAAGTCAGGATGCTAATACAAGCCAGGATTCTCAAACAATAACAAGAAAATCTTCAATATTTAACAGATCAGGAAACTACCAACAGACCACAGCAATAAAAATTTCACAGGCGAGAGCATGATGTGAATATCTGGGATTACAGGGAAAAAAAGTCCATTCTTGACTATTGCGTCCTGCTGCCTGATCAAGACCTTTTGGCTCAGGATGCTGCAGACAAGATGTCTGTATTCTGTCTTTCCTGATAGGTGACCTTGGGCTGATCCATACCACACAGAGCCACTTTTGGAAGAGCTGCTCTCCATGCGTTTCTATATTAATGTGGCACGGTGTGAGGACAGCAGAGGAAGATGAGCAAAGCTGTATTTTATCGCCTGTGACCACTCATCGAGAGAGGTAAGTGGCTGCGTGGGGCATGAATCAACGTCTCCAGGGGACGGACCACAAGGCAGACTCACCGTATCTCCTATTTTGAGATCCCCGCACTTCCTGAGCCCAGGATAGGACAACCCGTCCTGGCATGTGGCAGTGAAGGTCAAACCGATCTCCTCAGGGCTGTCCCAGACTGTGAGTTCCACTTTGGACCGAATACTCTAGAAACACAATGGGAAAGCAAGCCATCAGGTTCCAAAAGCTGGGTGGATTTCTTCTGCTTTAGCCTCTTTTCCTGATGTTTCCAGAGAGCAGCTAGGCCATCTCTACACCTGTATGAAAAAAAAAAATCACCCGTGCACACACTTTGACATTTGGGTTTGACTTAACCAGCTTAGGAGACTTCTGATGAACGCAGCTAGAGTCACGGCGAGCTGCCTATAACCCCTGCAAGTGGCTTTTGTCCCCTAATCTAGGACGGGTGTGTTGCCCACTGTAGCCAGCACTGAAAAGATGCAGATGCACGAGAAAAAGAAAGCCAAAAACATTCTCAACCACAAATGGAGCATCTCTGAGCCAAAGGTCAGAGCCTCATGTACACATCTGCACCTCCTCCTCCCATAAACTAGCCCCTTAGCAAAGTGCAGAGCCCGATTCTCCACTGGCAGTCAGCCTGTGACGTCTGTCCTACAGCACAGAGAAGGTGTAAAACTGCACTGACTCTGTCCTGCTTTCTCGATTTCACCCAACCGGTCAGAAAAACATATTTTGCCTCTTAGGAGAAAACGCCAGAGAAAAAGTACCCTTTCAGATGCCTCAGCTGGAAGCACCACCAGGGGAAAAAATACATGAAAGATCTCTTTCTTTGCGAAACACTTCAAAGTGAAAAAGATTTTCCATCAGCAAGGTTTTGGTATGCTCCTACCCCCTTTCTTCTGCTTCTCATCTCTCCACCCTGCTGCACACACAGACTTCTTAAGTCAAAGCAAAATGAAGTTTATAAGTATTAATTCACAATGGGATTGTTTTGTTTGATTCTTCCAATGGCTGGAACCGAGTTTTTTTACGAGTGGTGTCCAAAAACGACAAAGGTTTTCAAAATGGAGCTTTCTGTACAAATATATTTATTTCCCAAAGCCAGCTTGCAGCTTTATCCCTCTCCCTCTTGTCCTCAACCCACACCAAAGTGCCTAGATTAAGAAAACGTGCTAATTCAGACCTCTTGCCAGTCCATGGGATAACAAAACCAGGGTTCACATGCCATCAAAGAGCTAACACTTTTGGAAATGTGCAGGAAATAAAGGACTTTTGGCTGGGTGAATCTAAACAGCCCTTGAGGAAAGAAAGGAATCATTTCCCATCTCTCTGCTGTAACGGAGGAGTTGCTCACGGGGCAGCAATTTGGTCCATACGGAGCATCCATCGCCTGCGGGATGAACACCATGCATGCCGGTAAAGCCAAGCATACTGGTCTGCCCGAAATTATCGCCTAGGAATCAGCTGTCACACTGATACGCTCTCCTGTATTCCCGCCCAGAGCACCTCATCTGGGGCACAGCAGAAGACAAGACACCAGGCCAGCCCTCGCTATGACCTTGCGTGGGCCATTCCTGTGTTCTTCTACGGATGCCAAGGTTTCTTATTAGCCCTATACAGTAATGCTATTAGCTTAATTGTAATGCTATTATCACTAGCCCCTCCACACCGTCACACAGCAACACCCTCTCACAGCACAGCAGCCACCACTAAGGGCAACTGCGGGATTTTGCTGCTGTGTTGTCTGGTGGCCTGCGAGCCTGCTGCACCTGCAGGGGCGAGCGGAGGGTGCTGGAGAGACCCGGAGGAGGGACCTGGCCCTGAGATGAAGCAACATCTCTGCCTGAAATAAAGCTGTTTACTATAGCCCGGGGGAAATTCAAAGGCTGGATCATTTCAGTGTAAAAACAAGGAAATCCTGAACTGGCAGCAGTTCCAGGGATGGCTGATGTGAAGGCCACCCATCAGTGGTGTAACGAGAAACACATCTGAGACCTGCCTGGATTGGGTTTAGGAAAGCATCTTTTAAATCAGCATCTCATTTGCTGCCGTTGGTCCAAACCCAGCCTGTGTGCCCGGGCAGAGACCTCCCAGTGCCATGCCAGCCTGGGCGCAGGCCTCCAGGAGCCTTCCCATCTCACAGGCATGTCAAGATCTGGGGGAAAGGCTTTTTCTTAGTGAAAACAGAGGAAAATCAGTCATTCTGGTTCTCTTTTGCTTCACACCTCTCCAAGATGAGGGAAGGGCAACAGCACACCGGGCAGAAGATGATGAAGAGATGGGGGAAAGTGTTCTTGCGGGTAACGCAAGCCCTGAGCAAGTCTGATGTGCACATTGGTGGAGGGAAGCCCATGAGAAAGGACCACAGACCGCCAAAGAACAGAAGGGGAGAGGTTGAGCCCAGGCCCAGAGCATCAGGCACTACCACCCTGCAGGAGAAGACAGTTGAAGATGAAGGGTTTCTCCAGGCTCAGAGTTTCCTTTCCATGAGGAATAAAAGAAGGTTCACTCCCAGTCGGGAATCAGAAGTTTCAGCCTTTGTCCTCAGTGAGAACTTCCTCCTTCATTTCAGGAAAAAACAAAGCTACCGAGAGGAGACGGGCTGGGAGGATGCCAGGTTTCCCACGGCCCCAGGCTGCCCGCAGCACAGGCACGAGCTGCCAGCCCCTGGCAGCACCTGCCAGCCCTTGGCAGCACGCCTGAGGGTCCCGGCCCACACCCACCACCCAGCTGAACAGGCAAGAAACCAGCCCCGGTCTTAGCAGCAGATCATCCTGCACAGGTCCTTCCACAGGGGACCTCGGTCTCAGTGTCCGAGTGGTTTCCAGCCAGCTGCAGTGGAAAGCTCACAAGAAAACAGAAGGAGGGAGCAGGGGTGGGGGCATCAGATCCCCAATGGTTTTCATCCACTTATATCTATCTGCAAAGGCTTGAGGGGTGGTGAAATGGAGGCGCGGATGCATGTTACAGCTGGGAAACCAAGCCAAAGGGAGGTTTTCATGCGATGGTGCTGAGACCACATGCAAAGCCAACATGGAGTGAATGTTCATTTCCTTCTCCCCAGCCAAGCATCCTAGCCACAGGACCCTCCTTCCTCAAGGGGACAAACTGCAACAACCAAGCTTTTGTTCTGCAGTATCTCCAGGGCCTTGTCAGCAGCATTAGCTGCTCATTGCCCTTCCTCAGAGAGTGAAGCTTTGGGAAGCACTATTCCCAAGGGCATAACCAAAGGCAGCTTTGACTGCAGGGAGCGGTGGGAGAAGGAAAGATGAATGCTACAGGTCTTGCACAGCACAGCACAATCCTGCATGACCTCTGGATGTGTAAACTCCTCCAGAACATTCCTTCCTCTCTCCCTTGCCCTCACGAGCACTGTACGAAGAACAAGGGCGTGCAGCCATCGAAAGCTGTGTTCACAAGTCCCATGCATGAAGAACCCTACCTGAAGGCTGACTCATTACAGGGTCAGATCTCCATGCCCAGCACCTGAACAGCAGTATCACTGCAGAAGCACAAAGACCTGACCCGTAGGAATTCAAGGAGAAGTCAGCAGAAACATTGACAACTAACTACCCAACAAACATGCGATTTAGCTGCTTCTAATTGCTCTGCTCCACTGATCTCCACGGAGATGCACAATGTCTGGTCAGTGCCACAACTGCAGGTCCTTTGCTGTCCTCCATGGGCCCCAGCATGGCAGGGCAGGCTGCACTGGCAACGCCATGTAGGTTTGGCTCCTTTGGGACCCAAGAGACACGGTGATGCTCATGAGGTGCTGAGCACAGACTCGCAGTGGATGGAGACCAACGAAACGATGCAGCCTTAGCCAGAGCCCAGTCACATCCTTGGGAGGCCTCTGAACATCACACAGTAAAAAATATTTTATCTACCAGTAGGGTGTTCAGAGAGAATTATTCTAGATTGGGGCTGTATTTTAAGGGTAATTCTGCACACGAGAGATGTGGGATGAGGTGTCTTCTCCACTGCAGATACCCTTGGGCATTCCCGTGCTCCTTCTCCACCTCACACACCTTGTTTCCCGTCCTCCCCAGCGTGGACGCCCCAGCTCTGGCAGCGTGCGGAGGACCGGGGAGGGAGGTGGCCGAGCCGGGTGGAGCACGCCGGGGAGAGGCGAGCTGGCCGAGCTCTTGGCACTTCGCACGACAGCAGCTGCAGTATTAAAATGCACTTACGTTATAGGCCTTGACGATCAGCTCGATGATATTCTTGGAGTCTTTGTGCAAAATCTCCACTGTTGTCCCAGGAATCAAGGCAGTAAAGTTCTTGGAAAAAAAAGAAAATGAAAGAAAATACTGAGATGCAGAGAGGAAAGCAGAGGGTGAGGAGCGACCGTGTCGTCTGGTGGTGTACCCGCTATGGCTCGGTTTCTGCTAATGTGGAGCTGTTGCAAGCAAAGCATTGCTAACGTGGCACGTCGAACACTAAACGAAGCTTGTGGCCAAGGGATGGGGACTTATGGACACGGGTCTGCTGCTGGTGGCGGCCAGGCCCAGCCGCCGCCCCCTCCGACAAGTTGTTGTTTTTGCTCGAGCCTCGAGAGCCAGAGCCGAGGTTTCCGACGAAAGCAGCCTCGCCTGAAACACCTCCCCGCATCCGCAGAGGAGCAAAGCCCTGCGGGGCAGCTCCAGACACACACCGGCCCTTGCAGCTCGGGTCACCTCTTCCTTTCGAGGGAGTTCAAACTGTATGTGGCGCGTCGGGGCCCTGGACTCCGCGATGGAAAAACACAGCTGGGCAGAAACACTGCGTGCGATTAGGTAATGGGATTAAGTCACTGCAGAATGGGTTGAACAGGTTTCTGCTCTCTCGCATGCTGCACGGCTGGCAGCCATCCGAACATCAACATTAAGCTGGAGACTATTTTAGGTCTTCACACGCTCACTAACATGTATATCTGTTCGCTCTAAGAAGCTTTAGCGTTTTTTGCTGAAAGGACTGGCTGGGAGGGACGGCGGGCTGAGCCTCGCCTGCCTGCATCTGCCTGCCCCTGCCCGCCCCGCGGGCAGCACCTGGCCACGCCCGCTT